TGTGTGTGTGTGTGTGTGTGTGTGTGTGTGTGTGTGTGTTCTGTTTTAATGTGTGTCAGTGAGCCTGTACGACTGTTCTCTGTAAATATTTCCATTTTCTCCTCCTGAAGGTTTAGAGAAATCCAAACAACAAATGAATCAGTATCAGCTGAAGTTTAAGTAGCTGTTTGTCATTAGCTCTCGGGGCTACGGTAGCTCAGTGGTCTTGTCATCCTGAGGTCGTAGGTTTGAGCTCAGGTTGTTAGAAGTATTTTTTAAATTATCTCACTGCTGCGACGTTGTCAGAGGTCAAAGGTCAAAGGTCTCATCCTCAAACTCACTGACTTCTATCACATCTGAACTCAGATTATTTCTTCCAAACAGGAAGTGAAAGCTCTTTTCTTACCTCGTCTCCTCTATGAAACCCTGTAGAAACATAAAAACTAACTGGATTAATAGGATTTAATTTTTTTTTTTACATTTTTCAGTTTAAATTGTTACATAAGGAAGAAGGTTGATGTTTGTTTCATCATTTCTGCAGAAATGGTTATTGGTTTGGCTCCTCTTCAGCTTTACATGACTGAATTTCTCAGTAATTTATTTATTTTTTTTGAGAATTCCCGGTGCGGTTGTTGTTGTTTTGACTGTCTGTCAGAGAAAACAGGAGTTGCTGTGTTATTCTCTGCAGTGATGAAGTGAAAGCTTCATGTTCGGCTGAACTTGGCTCTGAGTTGAGGAGCGGCCTGAAAACAAAAACATCTGCAGCAGATGTGCTGGTTCACTTCTTATATCTGTGGAATCTGAGGGTTTTAGCTCTAAAATTTAAATGCTGCTCGATTTTTATTCTTGTTTAAGAGTCTTAATGATGAAATGTTTGTTTTTTGTGAGTTCAGATGTTATTACCTGCAGTAACCAGACTCTACTTGCATGCCGGCTCCATAAACACAAGTTTACTTTAACCTAATGACTGAAATGGACTTTAAAGTGCCTGCGACGTTAAAATTTTGTAAAAAACATGAATGCATTTTTGGAAAGATAACACTGATAACATATTGCAAAACAAATTTCATGTCACTGAGATGAACAGTTATTGAGATATTTGCATGTGAAGAAACAGGAAGTGATGTCAAAGGGGAATGTCTGCATGTGAACCGAACGTTGTTATAAAAGCTAACAACAGACTGTAGAGAAGAATCTGATGTTTCTTTAGATTATTTTTAGTCGCTATTTTTAGCTTCATCAAATACACTTTGTTAAAAAAAGAGAGTTGTTATAATCTCAACGGGATTGAGATGTTTGTTAAACCTAAATTTAGAACCAGTTTGAAGTCCAGGATATAAGATTATGGAATAATCTGGAGGATGACGTTAAAAATGACAGATTAATGTTTATATTTAAGAGAATGAGAAAGGTAAAGTTGTTGGGGAAATATGTAAATGTATGAACTGTTG